GAAGTCGCGAAGTTTCTCGAACGCTGCCCAGCCGAGTTGGATTCGACGGTTCTCCCCTTTTTAGAAACTTGACTTACCCAAGTGGACTAATTGACCTAGATAGATATATTTGTCGTCAATTTCGAGAGCAGAGTTTTCAACAATTACCGAGTGGATGGAACGAGACATGAGCGTTAGTCATGATGTTCGTCCTATTTATGTTTATTAAAGCCCACTTTTTGAGAGGCTCGCTGTGTGATGTACTCGCCGTTGATGTTGATGCCAAATCCTTTCCAATCCACCAACACAGATTACATCCCTCTGTCGCACTTCTCTTAATTTTCAACCAAGAACTAAATGACAAAGAGCTATGTGCATGGACATCACTAAAAGCATTGATAGAACGTATGTAATCATAGAGCCGAGTACGCGGCACTTTTGGTGAACCATTTGCTAAATGCATAATGAAAAAAAAAGTTGTTGGCTATCATTATTAAAATTTCATTTTGGCAAGTCCCATTTCTCTTTTTCCTTTTAAATCTCGGAATTGTGAGAGATCAAAAAGTTGAGAGGTTTCACCATCATATAAAAAGGCTTGGAAACGGTTTCAAGGTTGTTGGGATCAGCTATGTTAGGACATTACTCCTGACGTTAAAAACGAGAATATACTTCCCAACATAAAGGAAAAAGTTAAATATTTATAATTTTTCATATGATTTGAAATGAATTTCATATTTTAATGTGTGCATATCTAATTTTGTCGTCGGCTTCACCCGAAAAGTTTGTTACTGGACGAATAGTCTGTACTTTATTAGGAATTTTATTGTGGGGAAATGCCGCCGACATTCAAACTATTTTTGTGTTGCAGAAGAGAGCTAGTCGGTCAATTTATAATCTTAAAGTTAAAGAATCCTTAAGAGATAATTTTAAAGAATTTGGTATAATGACGGTCGCATTACAATACATATTAAACGAAAATTTATTACTTGTAAGAAAAAAAACATTGTTCCTTAAAATAGTGATGTTCACACACTTAATACAAGAAACAAAAATAACTTTACCTGTTACTAGGCTTCATAGTGTTCGCTTATACAATAAATTCCCAAGCAATATCCAAGAGTTAACCATAAAAAAATCAAAGATAGTATAAAAAAGCACTTATTAAAAAAGCTTATTACAAAATGTCTGATTATTTTATAGACAAAAATGCTTGTGTTTGAACTGTTTCAATCATTCCAATAGGTTTTCTATATTAAATAAATCATGATTGTATTGACGTTGTAACAACATAATGATTTGTTAATTTTGTGGAGTATTTTTCGCTCTTTTTTCTCCGCAGTTAAAAAATATGTCCAATAACGAGTAGTAGGGAAAAAAATTTTTGACGATTCTAAAGAGTTGTACCTTCTATACATCCAATTTGAAAAAGGATATATTGATTTCTGATTACCAATAATATATAGAGGACGATTGCAGGTTACATTGTAGGTTTGTCACAAAAAAACTCAAAAAGTACTGGATTGCTTTCAAAAATAATTTCAGAAACCGATAGAGATTGAGGAGGATCTTGATAACATGAGACGATAGACTATACACACATGAAACACAAAGCACAAGTAAAATCATATTTTTACATTTTTATGCTCATTCATTATTTTTCACGCCTCATTAAGCTCAATGAATTATTAATAAATGAATATAAGTGTTGCGTTTTTCGAATTGACCTTTAAGTACGTATGTAGTGGTTGTGTGTGTTTTACCTTTTTTTTACAAAATGGAGGGTATTTCTATTATTGTTCTGAAAAATACGAAACTTTATTTTGCTATCTATTCTTTTTTTAGGGTACATATGTACCTTGTGGGATGAGTAAGGAACAATTGGGTTAAACTAAGAATGTACATATACTATAATAATGTAATAGGTTGAGTTAGGAATACTAGTTTGAGATGAGTAAGGAAATGGTATAAGACGTCATAGGATAAATTCGGAACAAATAGTATCAAAACCACCAAAGGGTTATTTTTTTTTAAATAACCCTTTTGGTATTTTTTGATAAATAAATGGGCCAATATCAATATATGCATTTCTTGTAAGATTTGATGGCACACATTTTGTTCGCTTTCTAAAACCAATAGGGCCTAAGCAGAGCATAGATTTGCATTTTTCTTATTTCTGCGAGAATCGTAGCAATTTTTGCACTGCCACGAACACTGAAATTTGTTTACCGTAGCTTAAACCAAAACCACTAAAACTGAATCACATCTTAAATTATCATTATTTTTGATTGAAAAAATAAATAAAAATGTCGTCACATAATTTGTTAAAGACGAAATTTCAATATTAATCCATATGAAATCGGAGGAGTATATGCAGTCGCTATAATTAGCTTTGGAGGACTTATAAAGTCTATGATTGTATTTAGGAACTTGCTGTGACTTCGATCCGAGAGATGATATTATTAATTTGTAGGTTTTGACATACCTATTATGTCTGTCATGATTATAGATAGCAAAATCGTTGAGGACGACATAATATTCGAAGCCGAAGGGATTTTTGGATTTACGGCAGATTAACATATGGGGGCAACCTTGCTCTTTGTAAAGTACTCTCACCATAACTGAGCCTTCTATGCAGCGACGAACGTCTAGGACAACAAAAAAAAAATTCAACAAACTGTCACTACTTTTAATCCCATCCAAATCGTCAGTATTTTGAATAGGAGGTACCGGAGGCTCCACGAAACACCCAATGTCTGACGCGCTCGAATATTTTTTTCTACCACTTAAGTTATAAATGAATGGACACCCTTAGTTAATAAACTTAGAACATAGTCAAAGCGAGTGCATCTTCGGGAAGAAGTAAGCTGAAGACACGCCACCAAGTTCTTAAACAGACCTTATTTTCTTTTTTAGCAATATAAATAATAATATTTATAAAACATTTTTCATTTAGCTTACTAAAAACTTAGTTGTAGCATGCTAGAAAAAATATTATGACAATATTATGCACTTTACACTGACATTCTCAGCTTGCACATGCAAAAATGCGCTTGTGTTACGAGTATTTACCCAAGTAATTTTTGTAATAGACATTTTCTTTGACCTTTATTATACCTATAATCGTGCTTCGTGTTAGAGTTTATCTACCTTAAAGCATTCGAAACCAAAGTTGCTCTTCACCTAGTTTTCACTTTCGCATGTTTCGACTATGAGAAAAACCATCATTCCGCTTATGTCATAGCAAGAAAGCATTGCGTTTTGTCGAGCAATTAAGTAAAAGTTCTTTTGATGAGCCGTGCGAACTAAGCCCGATGATCTCGCTTCGAGATGACCTGCGGTCAACTGCGGCTCTTGAACTGGTTATGGAATAGTAAGGGCCACTATTGTTATCAAGATCGACGGAGAAGTAAAAATATAAAAAAACTAACCTTGTCCATTTGGTTATGAAACATAAAATGGTTGAAGAATTTATTTAATTAAGAAATAGGGACGATGATTCACTTTTTTTTCTTCATCTTTAAGGTAGATCATCAAAAAGTATTGGACACGTATTTTTCTTTTCGTCAGAACCAAAACATTACAGTGATATATTGATTTGAAATGTTGCATGTTTTCACGTCTTGGTACAATTTTTCTTTGAAGTGACGTCACGAACCCCAGACTTTGACGCGCTAAATCTTCGTCATTTTTTGGCTAAGTAACTGAAGAAATAATATGATTTTATTATTTTTTGATAATGTAACTGACGGAATAAATAGAAATTCATTTACTTTACCCCGTCATCATTCCTATTGTTGTTATTTTAAGAAGGATATATTAAGAGAATAGCTTAGACTTAACCAACGCCAAAGACATGAAACTATACTGATACTGAGTATTTAATTGAATAAACTTATCATTTAAATTTAGAGTAACTACCGTGCGTTTGACTCGCATAATACTTATGACCCCCTGACAGAAGAACATCTTTACAATTTTCGTACCTACTACAAATTGGATCGCCTGTTTGGGCAGATAACCTTTACTTTTGAAGAGATCATAGGAAAATAGCATAACGAGTAGTTCGTGTTGTGTTTAAGAATAAGATTCATCATTAGGGAATTCAGATTCAGTCCGGATGAGGATGGCTGGAGCGGCAGAGCTACTTCCGCGTCAGCTATTTTCGCAACTAGACAGCAGGTGCATAGAGAATTACAGAGATAACCATCTGCTGCACCTTATATAAAAATAGCCTCCTACATTCATTAATTTAATACTGATGCTCTCAACTATGCACTCACTAAATACATTACGAAAAGGTAAAGTAGGTAATGTTTGTGAGTCTGATTAAAGGAAGTACCTTCGCATTACTATACGATAACGATTTTGAAAATGTTTCACCAGTAAAATGCTATTATTCTTGAGAGTATGAATTAATGTATTTGTGCGTGTATGTCATAGGCTATATTATTGCACATTTAAATAAATTTTACTCTTGCTCGTTTAAAATTAATATAAACTACATATAAGCCAGCCAGCGCTGGCCGCTAGTTTGATATAAATAGTATACATCTATGGATGAAATAATTAAATTTGAAATGGTAGCGGCTTCCGATCTGCGACTCTATAAGCGGGATATTATTATGAGAAAAGAGAAAAGTGCAAAGAATGGTCGTGGGAAGACACCACAATGGCTTCGATATGTCACGTCTGCGTGTTTCACTTTATTTTCTAAGTAATTACTAAATTAATACTAATTTGCATCTTGTGATTTATTGCTTGTCGAACAGACCTAGATAAGTTTGCTATGGTTCACATGTTTGTCTCAAAACAGGATTAATTTTGACCTGAAATTAATGACTTTGAACCTTGACCTTGTTTATATCTCAAGAGGTCATCCATTAATGTAAACCAACAATATCATACACAAATCCACTTCAAATCATCGTAATAGTTTAAATCATTGGTCGGTCGTTCGTTATACGATCAATTCTATTGATATCATGAAGAAAACATTTTAATGATAACATTTCTTGTTGCAGATACTGCTAGTGCTGCTATTCCTTGCAGTCACAAGATGCAGAGGTGATGCAAACAATGGATATCGTAATGGAAACGCTGCATCACAATTCGGAGAACTTTTAAAACCACCACCACCGCCACCTTTGTCTTCATTATTACCAGTGCCATTTCATGGAGGGGCAGGAAGATCGCAGAGACAGAATGTCGATATCGGATATCAATATCAGCCTCCTCCACCACCGCCGCCAACCCCCGTTCCAACTTCTTCAAATTTCAAATTTCCTGCACCTTTTTACAAGCAATACAACTTTAATTTCGTACCACCTCCTCAACCATTTACTACTACGCCGTCTCCTTCGATGTTTCAAAAGGTGTCTGGATGGTTGTTTTCATCCCAGCAGTCCCAGCAAACTGGTTATGACACAGAGTTAAGTAAACCAGATCCAATAAAAAAAGACTGTAACCCCTGTAATTTAGTGCCATGGATACCAGTTATTAGATATGATTTAGGGGCTACAAATGCATTTCGTAGTCCAAATCCAACACACATTCAATCTAATCCCACGTACGGGCCACCAAGTCCGACGGCTCATCTAGATGTACAAAATATTGCTGCATTCAAACCTAATGCTTATCGGCAACAACAAAGTTTGCCACAGATCTCGACTGGTGTGCCGCATGCAGTATATGGACCACCATTCCAATCCCCAAGTATTAGCGTACAAAGTTCAACTTACGGCCCGCCGATATCAACATATGGACCCCCGAGTCCTACACATACCATCTTACTTCCTTCTCAAAGTCCACTTGCTTCCACCTTTTCAGCCCCCAGTGTACCGTATTCTCAACCCAGTTTATCATACGGAAATCCCACAGCATCTTTGGGATATTCTAGTTCATCTTACAGTATTTCAAGTTCTTCATCCGCTACAACATCGCCTACTCCCCCACCGATTACTCCTGGTCCTTTTTCTTCAACGTTTTCAATAGATACACCTTCTTATGAACCTGATCTGTCGAAATTTCAACATAAACATCAAAATGACGTTGAAATATTAAAAAGTCCAGATCTCGAATTACAATTACCTAAAGTCACACCTCCTACAACATTCAAAAATTCATACGGAGAAACAATCTCTAATAGTTATATTTCAGATATACCTTATTCTGTATCAGCCACAGCAGCCGAAACTACAAAAATTAACACTGAGGTTTTACCAAATAGTTCAAATCCAGTAGTTCCAAATGTATCTCTTGCATTGGCAAATCCAGCACCATTCACTCTGAATAGGGGTAGAAATATACATACATTACAACCTGTAGCGTTACCTAATCTAAGTGTATCGCCGTTGCCACCTATATTTAATGCTCGGCCGTTTAGGCCTACTCCTTTACAATATTCAAAAAATCTGATCAATGGAATAAATTCCATGCAACAGTTATCTAACGTTAAGATTGAGCACAGCATTCCTGTAGCAGAATTCACACAATCTATAGACTATCCAACTACAGTAGTACAATCACCTATAATAGATATAAATCCTCCTCAACAAATAAACCAAACTAAAGCTTATAGGAATATACCAAACGCATATGTGGTAAATGATATACGAGATATATCTTCTCAGGCCTCAGAAGACCAAATCGCAGCCACCAAAGACCTACAAGATGCTAGTTTTGAAAGCACAGGTTTGGATCTTGGGAATGAATTATATGATTCGGGCATACCAATGAATTTCAAAAACACTCAATTGCCATCTAATCACAAGACTGACTTCGCTGATTTGCGAGGTATAAAAGATGAAGACGTCGATAAATATAGAACTGAAAGTAACTTACAGAATATAGATTCACCGTTACTTTATTTAAAACCGAGCGCGCCACATAAAGCATATGGTGATTTTGTTTTGACAATTTCTACGCCATCAAATGAAAAAGAATATGAAATATATGATGACATCCCAACAACAGAAGCAACTCGAACGACTGCTCTTCCAAGTGATTGGGATGAAGGAAATTTTAATGAGGGATTATCGCCTCCAACAGCAGCACAAGAGAGTGTAGAAAAACCAAAAATAGTTCAGATAATAGTTCCTTACACGATTAACAATGAAAATAATTACAATAAATTCAATTTCGATGATTGGGCATATACGCAAGAAGAGGAATTTCAAGCTCGAAAGATACCGTCTATTACTGAAGTTCCCAACATAAATATGGAAAATTACAACAACCCCAGTACAACCACAGAAGATACCACTCAGACTGAAAGTGAAAGCTACGATTCAGAAAACTTAAGCACTAGTGCAATTTTAAATGACTTATATGATGTTAAAGAGCCGCCATTCGATATTATAAAACTTCAACACACTATTGATGACTGGACTGAACAAGAATATTCTGAACAGCACAAAACACCTCAAAAAAATCGCAGCTTAGAAAAATTTGCCAAGCAGATTCCCGATGACTATTTTACTACAACTATTCCGAGTATTCCGTATGTGTCACCCACAAAGAACTATGAATACGATTATGATCATGAGGGTTCGAGTAGTATTCAACATACTGTTATGGAGAAACAAAATAATAGCTTTCACAAAGCATATAAAGAATATAATGCCATACAACGACAGAAGTCGAAACCGCACAAGGACAAAGACAGTGAAACAAGAGAAAAGCAAAGGTTACATATTTATACTGCTGCGTCATCATTTAGGGTAACAACTACAACCCCCGCTCCATGGGGTAAAATATTTACGTCCATTTCTCCATTAACAAAAGAAAAAGTTTATGTAGTTACATCGAAACCTTGGCGAGAAGGTCGTAATATCAGCGACGAATGGAACGAAGGGCAGGATTTTGAATCTAAAAAAACAAATAATAATGATGGCGTTTCATCTTCAGACAGATTACCATTCAAATCTCCAAGATTTGCTAATAGACCATCACTTGGTTTTATTTCATCCGATAATAATGACTCTATGAATTCAGAATCTACCTATGAATTTTCAAAAAGCTGGTATCAAAGTAGTATGTATTGAAATCTATTTAAAACTTTGTTTTTTTACATTTTGATAATCTTTACAAGTTTCTTTTTTTTCGCAGTAAACGATTTGGAGAACCGTGCCGTTGGAAATTACACGACGTGGCCTGAAGGTCCAACACAGAAGCGTACTACTAATACGGATAAGGTTTTAATTTAAATTAACTAACTTTTCATTTCTATATTGTAAATACAAATATTTCGTTACTTAAAAACTAACGGCTGAACTGCACGTCTATCGATTTTTTTTTCATATGCGTTCATTCTGTCACTCACAAACTACTAGGGGGATACTACGCATCTGTATGTATGATAGTAAACTCAGATAGTAAAGAAATAAGACAAAAAAATTGTTGAAATATTTATCTGTGAGTAGCGGTCGACCGCAAGGAGGCCAATCATTTATCTAAAGTGCAACCGTTATATACTCAGTTAATTTTGGTCTTATATAGTATAGCCGCATGGCTAGTCTACTTCCTGCCTCCTCACTAGTTTACTGGTTTTGGTCACCTACGATCTAGTCGAATATTTATTTCCACAGACGATTTAGGCCTTGTAGTTAGCTATGTGTCATCAGCTAGACTAAATTATTATTTGCGCAATTTGTATTTAGTGCACTTTTCTAATATATTTTTTTTAATTTCTATCATGTACGTACTGTTTATACAGTGCGTCCATGTTTTAAACATACATGGACCTATATATAAATAAATAAAAATATTTCCTACACTCACACCAATTATTATCCTTGTTCCAAAAATAAGGACTGTAACGCTTGTGTTATGGGATGCTAGGGTAACGGATAGGTAAACGGATAGAATACATATACTGATACATAGATAAGTATATTTAATCTAGAAATATAACACAAACATCCATGACTAAGGTAAAATACTCGTATTTATCATATTAACATTTGCGCCTACCGGCATTCGAACCCAGGACTTCTCACGCCATGAAATCCGTCGTATATACGTCACGTCGTACATTTGGTCACAGAGGCCGTAGTATAAATCTTATTAAATGCAAAATTATTGTATATATTAAATTTTCGTGTCACAATGTTAGTTACCATACTCTTCGAAACGGCTTGACCGATTTTTATGAAATTTTATATGCATATTCAGCAGTTCTGAGAATCAGCTACTATCTACTTTTCATACCCCTAAGCGATAAGGGTTATCCACCCCTGACATTTTTTATATTTTGGACAAAATTTTATTCTTTTATTTTTTTATAATGTGGCATTAAAAAATACACACAACCCTAAATTTTCACCCTTCTACCACCAGCCCCGCTAGGCGGTGCGAAGTTCCCTGGGTCAGATAGTACTATACAATACAATTCTTTCTTCTAAGTAGGCTAGGGTTAACTGGATATTTATTTTAAATGTCTTTTTCAGGATTCTGCCGATACCACGACTGCAGATCTTCAAAGCGATGAGGATGCGAGCTAAATTGGCAGAAGACAAGTTAGTTGAAGTGTCTTATAATATTGAAAACAATACAGTTTTGTTGAGGTGGTGTAGTGTATGATAAGTGTTCACAGTGAATATATATTAAAACTTGTTTAACTATTCGAATTAACTATAGTGTGAAAGAAGGGCAGTCATTTTGGCTGAAGCTTTTCTCCCAGAAATATTGCCAATTGCCAGTAGTGAAAGAGACACGAAAAATTTAGGGGATTATGATCGGAAGTTACAAAACAAAAGTGACAGTGACTGATAAACTATTTCCGATACTAAACTTGCACATTTATGTAAATGTAAAATTTAACGGAGTATATTGTAATAATTTAGTGAATGAATAATAACTCCAAATATAAAATGTTCTTATTAATTTAGTCTTCACTTAAATTATATTTCGTGATTCTTACAGACTATTTTCGATATGCAACTTTACCATAAATGTAAATTTTTACGAAATACAATGTAAGGAATGATCAAATTAATAAAAACACCATTTAAACACAGCAGTGCTTTTTGTAAAATTTTTCACACGTGGATCCGCGCGGATATATGTACGAGTATATCGGAACCGAGCGGATTCACAACGGATCGACGCGTCAACATTTTACAGATTGGCACTGCTGGTTCTTATTCATTTGATCAATAGTTATTATAAAAAAAGTGAACCAAAGTAGAATATTATTCTCATACAGCTTATTTTTTCTAGTTTCACTCGCAGTTTACGTATGCTAAAATGATTTTAAAGGATTAAAAATATTAGAAATATTGTTTAAAGACACCTTGTAATTGTTGGAACAGATATCTCGTATTTTAAACTGTTCTTACTTAAATGTTATATGAACAATTGTATATATTATGCGTTAAGGTGTAAATATAATAAATAGTAACCAATAAAAAAATGTTTTTATGTACACCCTTTAATCTCAACGTGTTGCTATACAATATAACAAGGATAATTTAACAACAAACTAATTTGGCTTCCCTTTGAAAAGAACCCACAATATATTTTGGAATTAAGGGCATATTAATTATTATAATAATAAAATTTGTTCGTCCGTTATCTTAATAGGTATATCGATTTTATTATGACACCGACTGGTTATAAATGTTTACCACCGTATTCCAAAACGTGGACTAAAATTAGTCTTGGTTTAAACCTAATGTTGCCTCAGTCTTCTTTTTAGCAAACAAAAGTGACAGCACAAGTTTTAGGCCAAGTTTAACTTTAGTCTAAGTTTTGTAATAAGGCGATCTGAGTTTCATGAATTGTTATCCAACAATTCTTTTGGCTAAGTACCAAATATTTTATTTTATCGACTTTTAACAAATAATTGAAATCCCAGCCTTACGGAATCCTTGTACCATGCCCCAGTCCTTAAGTTGTCATTTGTTTCTTGTTTGTTCCATTCATTCACTCGTTCAGATAGATAAGTACTCCACTAAAAGGAGTTTTACAAATACTGTGTTTCGATGTGAATAACATTTTTATTTTTGTAAACTAAGGACGACAGTTCCACCTTTATGGTTGCACAGCCTGTCTGTCACATCAGATCCACGATTACTTCATGTCCTAAGCCTCATTAAGTTGTCGAGGTACAACTTTCCTGTTAATCTTGAAGTATAGAAATTCTGCACCCCACAAACATACTGTGATTAGCGTGAAAACGTTTAATACCACAATTGGTATTCCGTAGGAACCTGAAGATTCACGAATACGACCTGAAAAATGAAGATGTTTTATTAATTAGATAAGTTTGTGGTGACATTAATATCACTATGGAGGGTTAGGGCGGTTTCGCCCATTTTAAGGACAAACCCGTGATTTTAAAGTATATATCTTGGCCCTCCTCGGGTTCTACATCTTTCCTCCTCCTACATCCTTATCCTAATTGATTCCTCCTACTTGCTTCTTAACACTTAAACATATGTTAGAATGGTCTACAACGACCTTATCACACTATCACACTAATAATATTATAAAGGTGAAAGTTTGTGAGTGTGTATGTTTGTTACTTCTTCACGTCTAAACGGCTGGAGCGTTTTTAATAAAATTTGGTATGGAGTTAGCTGACAACCTGGATTAGCACATAGGCTACGTTATAGTGCCGGGAAATATCCCTAATAAACCGCGGATAACACCGCGGGGCACAGCTAGTATATAATGAAAATAGTACATTTCTGATTTTCTTCTAATATTATATTGTATAATATATGATTTTTAGAAATTAGTTTGGGGTATTTAGCGGCAAAAAAGTAAGATAATTATATTTTTCTTAGTATTATAGTTTGCATGTACAATATAATTAAAGAATACGAGTAGGTACATATATTGGGGTTTATGCAGTCTTTCCTTGGATGACGAATCAATGGATGTTTTTGAAATTCATAGATTTATTAAAACAAGGTTACGCAATCAATCAGCTTATAAATATACCCACTGGTGGGGCACCGACCTCCTCGAGATTGGGCCATGGCCCACCACGCGGACCCAGTGTGGATTGATGGGTGCTAACGACTGCAGATGCAGCTGGGACCAACGGCTTCACGTGCCTTCCGAAGCACGGAGGAGCTCAAGATAGTAAAATTTTGGTCACCCATCCAATGACCGACCACTGTGAAAGTTGCTTAAGTTCAACGATTGCAGCCGAACGCGCTAACCACTTGCGCCATTGAGAACCTCAAGTTACGAAAAGTAAGGACAAAATTAAGCTTTGAATTATATAAAAACCTATGTAAGTCTTTGTTTTACACTCTCTTTTTCACGTTAATGAATATTCTTGTTGTCGTACTTAATTAATGATAAAATAACGCATACGATGGTTCGCGTATCTTTTTACCCGGCTGCGCAATGCAAGAGCGCGAAGCGCGACGCGCAGACAGGGTTATGTGTTTAACAGTCTATATATGTATGTTTGTTCCTTTGTGGCACACTAGAGACCAAACGCCTGGACCGATTTTGATGATTCATACATCAATCGATTCGTCTCAATCATGGGAGTGCTACTAAAGATATCATAGTAATCAAAATTCAATATGGGCAAAAATAGTCGCCATATTGTGACGAAGTAAAAAAAATAAGTTGACAAAATATGTCGAGTGGGGTATCACCGTCTAGATAATCAAAAATCATGTTTAGGTTCCTAACACTATTTTTCATTTTATGTGATTGTTTAGGATCTACAACGCTTTAAAGTTGTATATTAACCACTTGCGCTTTTAATTTCAATCTTACGTTTGTATGGATCTTTGTTACTCTTTCACCTAAAAATACTGAATGGATTTTAATGAAACTTAACAGTAATATAGCTCATATATGATAATTACATATATATAATAATTTATGTAGTTATTGAGTGAATTGGCCAATATATAACAATAAGGTGTCACGTGAGACGGAAAAAATCTCCCATCTGCGAGCCATTTTGGCCTGCACTGCAAAAACAATAAAAGTTACATGAATATAATGTAGAGTGAAAATGTATCTCTTAAATAGTTCTAAAAAAAAGTCCGTGACACCATATATCTATTTTTAATGTGTAAGTCATTACCGCTAAAATAGTGAATCAAAACTATAATATTATTTGATATCTATTTCCAAAATGCACATTTTGTATTAAAAAATCATTTTTTATCAAAACAAATACTTTTATCGCTTTTGATATTTAAAGACGATAAACTTTGCTTTTTACACTATGTCATTTCGACAAATATTTAAAAAGTTACAACGATGACAAAGTGATAGCGCGGTGTACTATGTAAAAGAAAAAAAAACGGGGTATTCGCAGTAGCTGATCCTAAACGAAGTACTAACAATAAAACTGTGATACAGTTCCTTCTTATTAAATGATGAAAAATATATTATCATTATAGGTATTTATGATTATTGAATTTTAATGAAAAACTCAGAATTTTACTGTTTTTCATTTTTTAACGATATTACTTAATGTTACAAAAAAGGTTTACTTAATATAATGAAAAATAACCCATTTTTCGCTAGTAAGTACATACATATTGGAACCCCTGTATTTATTAATCAGCTCGCGATAATATTGGTTTTGTAATAATTCTGCAAAATTCAAAGTAAATAATGTAGATTTTTATAGGTAAATCACCCCTTTCATCACCCTACGCCTAGAAGTATTGCGATGTTGTAGCTAAGAACCAAGTTCCCATCTACTTCTATATGGGAATTCATTATATTCGATTTAGCTATTAGGGCACGGAAGCGCAACAAACAAACTCACTTTCGCATCTATAATATTATATTATACTTACTAGTCATCCACCCGGGCGTTGTACGGGCGAAATTTATTTATCGGGATAAAATATAGCCTATGTTACTCGGACAAAATGTATTTAAATAAAGAAAAATGTTATAATAAATAATGTAGCTACCTTATGATGAATTAATATTTGAAACCGGTTCAGTAGTTTGAAAGATTATTTGTTAGAAACATACAAATCTTGCCTCTTTATAATATTAGTATAGATAGTTAGGATAAGATAAGTATTTAATGATGAAAAAGATTTAAAAATAAAGTAAGTAATAGGTTGTTTTGATTATATTTGTAAAAGTTACTTAGCATTTGTGTTTAACAGTGACACGTTATTCGGTATTTTTTTAAACAAAAAAAATTTGGAAAATAATTGCCATGATTGCGCTACTGGGAGTACTCTTCATTCGAGCTTTACACTACCAATAAAAAAGGGTCGAACACAGAGTCTATGACCTGTTAAATGTGAACGCTTTAAAAGAAAACTACAAAGAGAACTATAAATTGATAATAAATGAGATTTCTATGGTGCTCTAACTTACGTTATGAAAATTTTATTATGCGCCTTTAGTATAATCAAATATTATAAACTTTGCTTTGGTGATTGCATAATTATTTAATTTAGTGATCTAAGGCAGTTGCCTCCATTGTCCAAAACAACAGACAGGAATTACTGCTTTCTTCAACCTGCGACATAAACGTCATTGATTGGTATTGTATATAGAGTGATCAAAAACATTTGAAGTTAACTTCTGGCATCTACATATTGGGTTTCTGTGAATTATGTAGGTATATCAAATTATGAGACTAGGGACTGACACTGAATTTGTGTATATTGTCTTAGACGTCCGGCATTGACATGACAATGCAGCCACTGCCAATTTTAAATAGTCGACGAATAAAAGTAAATGAATTTTATATTTACTGCTAAACTATTAAAAAAAAACATAAACAAAAGATGACTTTTTGAGTAAGTGCTAGTTTACTATAAAATTTACATACATTAGCGATATTTATGTAACGACTTGATTTAACTTCACACATTTTTGCGAAAATTGAGGCCCATCTGTAGCCTTGACCCCGCTCTTTATATGTCTTAATAAATCAATCTTTTAGACCGACGCAAGGTACTTAATAATTCCCGCGATATTAATTCCCATACTGAAGTAACAAGACTACGGTATATACCGTCTTAAAATACTAACTAAAAAGTGTGAAATAAAAAAGGTAAATTTAAAAAATCAAAAAACCCGACTGCTTAATTATTATATTTCAAATAAAAACTGAAAAGAAAAAAACAAGTCCAGTAGTCTATAATTCTGTTAATAAGGAACAAAGCTACTTTAACAGTCGGGACCCACTGTTGAAAAATATTATGTATTCTTGAATATCTAATGGGTCCCGACTGTTAAAGTAGCTTTGTTCCTTATTAACAGAATTATAGACTACTGGACTTGTTTTTTTCTTTTCAGTTTTTATTTGAAATATAATAATTAAGCAGTCGGGTTTTTTGATTTTTTAAATTTACCTTTTTTTTTACTTGACGAGTTTACACCAAATTATTCTTAAGACGTCATAGTAACGCCAAACAGCCTTGGGACGATAATATTGAAATTGTCGATTTCTAAATGATAAAACATTAATAATTATGTAAATAATAATCACCCTATCAAAGTAATCTATGTACGTGACAGATTATCTTCGACATTAGGTCTAATAGCGACTTATTGATTGAACTTAAATAGTAATTTAGATTATACTCGTGGGACACCGAGTGTTGCATAAAATAAATACCAATAGAATAAACCAATTTAGTTCTATTTTATCTTGTAGCGCTTTCGAGGCTGCAAAGGTATGGCTCGGTTTAAGCCTTATTTACAGGTTTGAATCCTACATTAGTGGATTTCTGTGTTCTGTCCCTTCGCAAAAGTGTGTGATATGAACAAAACACGGCGTAATTAGTCTAAGCTTATTCATTGTTAATAAGGGAATATGAGCTCTGATTTATTTAAATTGTTGCATTGGCAGTAACACAACACTCTATCATACTGTTTAAGGCTGCAGTTTCATTGAATGCTGGCGCTTAATCTGGCACTTTCGCTACAAGCAAGAATGTTTGTATTTTAAGTTTAACATACCCAGTAAAGATCCGAGTCCGATGATAGTGATGCCATTGACAAACATTTGTATTCCGGACGCGAAGGCCAGCCTCTCTATGGGTATGTAGCTAGGGATCACGATGTTCATGTAGACAGTCCGCAGTCCCTTGGTTATGCCCATTGCGAGTGCGACGAATATCATTCCCATAAACGAGGTGGTGAATAGCATTACTGAAATTCAATAAACAATTTCATTGAAATATTGAACAAAATAGTAAATTATTGAAGTTATACTTCTTTAGGCGCGTTATGAAAAAATGATGAGAGTGAAATTTTAAGATGCGCGCGCATCACTGTAACACAAAATTTTAACAACTTCATGCTGTTACTTTTGTGTTTACCGCACATTAAGAAAATCTACCAACAAAATAGAAATAGAATCTCTATTTAGTGGGTGCTAACGACAGCATTGTGAAGGCCTATCAAAAGTATTTATTAATCTGAAACAACGGAACCAAAGCGCGATTCAGGAGACTACAGCGCCATCTCTTGACCATTGGTGTAGTAGAACCAAAAACCACATCTTTATTTTTTGTAATAAAGTAACAGTTATAGGTATTCATATTTATAATATTTATCCACATGTTTCTAGTTTGTATATTCGGAATACGTGTTTGAGTTTCATACAAGTGCAAATCACATATGTTGTAATAAATTATATTCAGTAGCGATTTTAATTGAATATTTTGATTATTTATTTATTTTTTCAAATTAAAACTGAACTTTATTGACTGTGTCCTTTTCCAGACTTTTTATTAATTTATTGTAATTAATTATTTGCATGCAATTAAAAACTAATTTTAAACGATGCCAAAGAAGGATAACTTCTCACGCGCCTACATAAGTACACGCACTCAGTTTTTTTCAAGTAGCTTTATTTTTCAAAAAAAAGAGTGGCAAACAAGCTTATAGTCTGCTTGACGGTTAGCACCCACCATAACTTTAAATAGACACTTCCGAGACTCGAGTTTATAACTCATTGTCTACTTTTAACCTATCCTCTAACCCGATGAGCTTTGTAAATCTTCATTTTATTGCGATCTACTTTAAATCTTCAAGGAGGCGCTCCTAACTCTCTTAAAACTTCAATATTCTTTTTAATCTAAAATTGTTTTGAATCTCAAATCATCTTTAATTCTTTTCGTATAGTGTATCCAACGTTGGAGGGTTTAGTTTCCCAATTCCCGTGCCTTGATGCCGTAGCAATAAAAGTGACATTCATATCCATTTTCATAGCTTGGAGCTTCCTTAAGGGGAGCAACAGGAAGACATTCCAGTTGGTAACTTTCAGCAAAAGGAAACAACTTCGTAACTGTTGTAAGAGGTTTTAAGCTTGGCGAGTTTCGTCTGACTTTTCCTTTTTTGAATGGTTTCCAAAACAGACGAAGGGATTTTTCTTTTAATTTTTCTATAAATGAAACCATTAAATGGAGATAGCCATAGTACAGTGAGTTTGAAAAAATATCCGATCAGTCGTGTACAGGTCATTCAAAATTAATGATCTTTAAACCGAGATTGTAACATTTAAATCACTCACACGAACGAGCATATGTGATAAACAAATTGCACGTGTTGTAAAAATGGTGATAAATTAATTATCTGCTACATTTTGTTGTAGAGGGAAAGAGTAAGCTTAGACAAGATATTAAATTAAAATCCATTTCAAATGTTTAATACTTGAAAAAGTATTCATTTGACATTGTGGGTTACCTACAATGCGAAGAGATGAGAATGCAGCTTAAGGCTAGGAAAATTTCGACGCGGCCAATAGGGCCGTGGTAGCATAATGGTCAGTGCATTCGCCCGGATTGCGAAGGGTGCGGGTTCGAGTCCCGTCTGCTGCCTGGTCCGCGTGGATTTTTTCTAGTAAACTTTTCTTTAGATTTAAACATCTAGCACTTAAAAATAAATAAAAACATAACTAAAATCCATTAACTTGGACAAATAAGTACTTCAGATATTACTTCAGACGCATTGTTTTTAAGTATCTAAATCATGCTTCTCAAAAAGTAATATTGTCAATAAAGCTTAATAAATTAGCTTTTTACTGCGAAAAATTTGATTTTTTCATATTTAACAAACCAAACCAGTTAATAAAATCGTGTAAATATATATAGCGACTACTAAGAGAACAATTAGCAGCTAGATGCTTTATCAGTCAATGACCTGCCGCAAGCTTCGCAAGTATCTGCGGGCGTACTTAGGCTAAGTTCAGATAGTCGCGCGTCGACGGGCGTTATTCTTACGCGCGTAAAGAGTTTGTAAATCATATCGCGCATTCACTTGCAGTTACGTGCGATCGGCTTCTTCGCAGGTATCTTAATGCGCACGTATATTATATAGTTCTGAAGCCCAAGCATGAACTTTGGCAGATCCGTTATTGTATCGGCATCGTCAATTTTTTTAAGGAAAGAGCCAGTTTTTTCTTACGTCCAGTAGGGGCACTGCTTAGTTTTCATAGAAACTTTGGCGATTCGATACGATTACGGAGCTGTCAAAGTTCATGCCTAGGCCTCAATTGGACCGCGCGAATTGTAGCGTGCTACATGCGGGGCAAGGAAAAGGAGAATGGGCAAATCCGCCTAGATTGCGCTTGACGCATTTATGTATCAAAAATCTTCTTCTAAATTATCATTTCATATGTGTGTTTATTATGTAAATATTATGCGGATATTTAAAATAATAAATAAATGGCTATTAAACTGAGTCAATAACCAATAACCATAGATAAAAGTTGTATCACCTGGTCGATACTATCGTAGGAAAAAAAATCGATTATATTTCTTTATTTAAATATTCTTAACATAAAAAAACGAGTGTGCTTATGACTACACAACTGAAGTGAAACTTCTTTCATTTACTAGCTGTAACAGAAAAAGAGAAAGAAAATGCGTGCGCGCGCTCTTGCTCCTACACTGTGATACAGACAATAGGCTTGCACTGTGCTTAGATATACGGAACGTATTTGGCTATGAGAGGAAGAGAGAAAGAAAATGTGCACGCGCACTGCTTTCTCATGCTTACATCCCCCACTCAACTCCCGTTCGCCTCGCCCGATCACACTTTTCTTAACGCTTACGTTCGCTAGCTTACTCCCCAAGTCAAGAGTGCGTAAAGAAGTTCCTCTTCAAAAAGAAAAAATAAAACGTTTATTGTAATTGCAAGCATAGAACAATTGTAAATAGCCTGAAACATTTTTACCAAACACCGTAAATGACTACGAAATAATGATCATTCGTTAATTCGTAGTCATTTTTTATTTTGAGGTCTTCGATGCGAGTTGTTTGATTTTTGTATGGATCGATGGATAGATTATTTTCCCCAAATCGCCTATTCAGAGGGCCTGGTTTCGAATTCCGGTGATGTAAATGTTTGTATGATGGATACGAGCATTTTTACCAATATTATATCATGATAAATAACATTAAATTCATAAAGTTATCATTTGTAAGACCTGTGTTGTGACTATCTCACTGTACCTACCAGGGATTGCTCTCTTTCATTGCATCTAAAAACTAAAAGGAACTTAATGGGCTGCGCAAAAGAGGATTTTTTGTCTGCGGACTATTTTGTTCATCAAACAGTAGATCGCATACAAAAACTTTTATATGTGTAGTACATATTCACATCTTAGATTAAAAAAGGGAATATATTTTTGTTTAAATTATCAGTTATGTTATATATAATTACTTAATCATATATAAATTAACTCATGGTTTGAACATTTTAAGCATTTGCATTGAAAAATAAAACATTTATTAATCGATTGTGTAGGAATCGATCCTATAGAATCAAATCGAAATATATACCATAGGCAAGTGAAGTAGGTAGCTGTCAACTTGTTGTCAAGTGTCAACGTGTTTGTTGTTTGTTCCGAGTGACTAACTACAGTTTTCAATTTTGAATTGAATTTGTGTTTTCAGTGGTCTATTGTGGCAGAATAGTTTTAATGTTGAGTTGAGTAATCCTCCGTTAATAACTTTTTTTTGGGAAAGAGAGCATTGGACTCGTAAATTCTGACAGAGATATTTGGACTCTTAGTTTATTGTAATTATATTTGTTTACAATGGCATCTGGTGTTACACAAGAAAACGCAGGCAGTATGCAACGACGTTGTATTAACTGTTGTATATCAGTGCCACGACGACAGCCAGTACATTCTTTGGACACGCTATCCAATTCAATGCTTAATGTTTTAAGCTCATGGATCGCACCTGATTCTGTAAGTAATTATTTACTTATATTACTAAAAATATATCGTTATACAATCGCAACCGTGAGATAATGTTTTAATTTCATTCACATGTTCAAATAAATATAAATATTTTTGACTTGTTATAGATATTGACCACCGAAGAAGTACCTGCACCACAATATGGCCATCAACAAGTCTGTTTTGGTTGTGGAAAATCCATATTAAGAAGTCGATCGTACAGGGTTTCACTACACTGTCCAGAAAGAAATATTATTCTTAGATGGACTCCAGCACATCAGGTATAGTTTAAGATATTATTATCAATAATAAATTATTAAAATTGATTTCAATGCTAATTAAAACATGACTGTGACATTATTATTATTTTTGCATTGCATGATTGAAATGTTATATTAATAATAATTTATTTAAATTGATTTCAATACTAACTGAAACATGAGTTTGACATTTTTTTTTACATTGCACAATTGTCATGTAGCATATTAATGAAATTGATTATATAATAACTAACTCAATCATGACTATGGTATATAAATAATATATATAGTTTTTAAAGATTGAGTTCTGGATAATACTGAAGCTACTTGTGTATTTGTTATATTTTTGAGATCTGTATAATTTACCATATCTTGTCAGATAAATGATTTATTATTATTATTATAAGAAATATATTTCTATTGCATAAAATAGTTGTAGATGGTTTTTCATTAAATTCAAGTTCACTTATCTTTTTTTTATAGGTGTCAAGAATTTCAAGAGTTTGTGCTGCCTGTTGGCGAGCAGCTAATAGGGAAGTGCAAAGGCAACAGTTACATGATGCGAATCGGTCATCAATTGAACAAATTGATGTAGAACCAACAGAGTCTGTACCAGTGATCCCAGTACCACCACCATTTCCCGCTGGTCTATTACCTGTTCAGCCTTCAAGACCTGTTATACCTAAGATACAGTCATC